TGTCGTAAATTCTAGATAGAAGAGGTAATATTTCGTTTGATTATTGCAAATAACATATCTAGTTCCACCAAATTGAAATTCATCGCAACAATCGATTTTGAAAATGAGGAAATAAAAATGAAAATAACATTACGGTGAGATGAATAATGAGGAAGTGTATGTGTTACTGTTGCAATTTGTAACACTTTGATCTAGTCGTTTGCAGGTTTATTGCTTTGCGTGCAACAGATTGAAAAATTCGAACAGTTGTCATGAAATTATAATCATATCTCTGTAATGTGATTAAGATTTTATTACGGTATCAAAGTTAGGTCGGTCCTTTCTCGCTTGACTTGTAATCAGCCATTAGTTATAAAAAAAAATACTCATGCATAAATGTATAATTGGTAACAGATAGCAGTTTACGATTTGATAACACTTCTTGTTTTTTTAATAACATTGCAACGTCGGTATTTTCTAAAAAATGATAACTCAAAGTCGAACATGATCTATTAACACGGATACCATTGAACAACCACGTGTAGATAGCGACCAACTGTTGCAAAAGTGCAAACGTCTTCTGTTCCATCGATGACACCCTCCATGTACCTTTATACGTGTCCATCTAGTAAAGTCCCATTATAACATCAGAACCAGGTATCTGATGACGCAATATTGACGTCATTTCCCCATATGACATCATGATAAATTTCTTCAAGATCCTCGTCAGAACACACATCTCGCAAACCGCAGCTGCAAGTGTATCCGTAAGCTGTCGTAATCTATCATGGAATTAATTCATGATATTGAGAACGTGATCTAGCTGTTCCTGAGAATGTAAGCTATGAAGGAAAATGTATGATTGAAATCAAGAAAAACACAAAGCCAATGCTGGCATTGTTTTTAATGACAATTACGCAAAATGTTTTCTAGATATCTTCTTACAACGATATCATACTTGATTCGAAAACAACAAAGATAAAACCGACATGTTAACAAAAGCTTAATTAAAACAAAAATCGATGAAAGCAGGGCGAGAAAGATTTGCATGGAGACTCCTGAAAAAGACATTATGACTTGGTATTCCAGAAGAGTAAGTGTCTTCTTTAAGTGAAAAATTGTCGTGCAAATCTAGGTGACATAGGGCCATTCAAGGGCTGACGCTATGTACACTGTATGAGTGAATGTGTCGAGTGCATATGTTCATAGGAAGTCACGATGTGTGTAAGCACCTGAATGAACTGAAGACGATCTTACAGTACTGTCACTGTGATGTTTGTCGAGTAGATATTATTCTGGCAATGCGCAAACCCTTTGATGCACTACCCGAGGACTGATAGTTACAAAGAGAGCATTTACAACCATTCTTAGAGATCTGGCATGACTCAGCCAGGTTGGCTTTGGCGAGACCAGAGTAGGTTTTTTTGTTCATGAAATACATTATAAGTATCATGCTAAACATTCTACCAAACTTTATTATCAAGTTGCAATCCTTACACGTGGCATGTTTGTATCCAAAAGTCAGCGTTGCACGATAACTTTCCGTGTAGTCATTGAAACATTGCCACGTGTTCTTTTGTTTACTTTTTACGAGAGTCATCATCAGACATCACTGTACTTACAGTGATTAAACTCCGTGTTTCCTGCGGTTTGTTCATTAAATTTCACAACGTTTAGGACAAAATATTTCTTATTCGGTCTGTTGTATGTTTGCGGATTCCGTGTTGTCAGTCACACATAAATTGAGGTCACTTGACGGACAGTAAGTTGAATGTTATGTGTTTTAGAAGTGTATCGTGCATGCCAAAAGCACACGAAAGCATGCCTCCATAATACAAATTATATGGACTGGTGTATGCACATATAACTATGTCAACATCTGATAGCATCTGATATCCGAACTCGTAAATCTTTATTTTTATTTTCATGTAGACATTGGTTTACGAACATCATGGAAGTGTTTAAACGATTTTACAATTTTCCGTTAACGTACATTTTTAGATTGTGTGCAGTATATGATTAAGGCTTTATCCTAGTTTCAATATTAAACATACGGTGAAATTGACAGACCCATCACATGTGTAGAGGAAGTTTAGTGGTAAAACGGTCGTCTTTCGTATTATCTAATTCAGTCTTCAGCATGTGTTCCATTTCAGCAACTTTTATGATTCCCTGCGGAACACCTCGGACACGTACGTCGATATGCAGCACATAGAATATGTCGGGGTGTTGGTAAACGCATCCATACTTGTCTCATTAATTCATATCTTAAATTATTATTCTATTAGAGCGTCGATATTTTGAATGTTGAAACTAAAAACAAGCATTGACGCCAACACCGATAAGAAAACGCCAACAATGCCGGTCTAATTTACAAGCGTTGGTATTGGCAATGTTTAGGCCGTCATCAAATTGCTATCAACTCCTTTATTGCGGGTTCGATGAATGCAAACGACCTTATTCCCCGACGTATTCCGCATACGATCAATGTCTCCTTACTGTAGCAAGACGAAAATATGAAACATCAGAGCCGAAGATATCTAGTTTGAATATTCCAGATCTGTACCCGATTTTCTTTTTTAAAAATCACATGATCTATTGCTCACACCAGTGTCTGTATCCAACAACACTGGGGGTTGAGGGTAATCTTGAATGGATTGTAAGAAACAAACTTAAAACTTAGAACAAATGTTTATGAAACTTTAATGAACATGGATTCGGTTTTTTCGTGAAATTTGCTTAAATATATAATACATATTTCTGGTTTTCACGAAATATATTGCTTTGATCTTCCAGGTTCTATTCACCAAATGTCAGACGTTACAACTAAATGTCACATTCTCATAAACCATGCTTCATAACATTGGCAAATTAATTTGGAAACAAGTAAACAGACGGAGAAACGTGGCGCCAGTGCATATATTGGCATTGATTCGGGACGTTGGTATTGTGAATGCCACAAACTTTCAATGTAACCCGAACTTTTATAACGTCGAATTGTTTTGAACATGTGTTTATTGGTAAAACATTACGTATTGTCATAAGATAAATTGTTCAACCATCCAACAACATTCCCTTTATGATTCTATGCAATCAAACATTATAACAATCGTTATTACGTGAAAAAAGGTTCTGCCATCTGGCCAAAATGTTTATTCATAATTTGTTATGAAAAGAATGTATGAAATCATTATGACGTTTTACATTTTCTGTTATTGTAAATAAAATCATGAAAAGGGAAATTCGTTCACGCGTTTGTACATCAAACATTATTAATTCTATGAAACTCAATTCGATTTTAAGCAAAAAGTTGCACTATAAACCACTTTAATCCGTAAACGGAAATACTGAACACTTAATATGAGCAACGACTTCCAAACAGCCTACACATACAAGGCTTTGTACATGTATGGATGTAGCGTAAAGGATGCAATTAAATTAGACATACAATGCAACAAGAAGTGAACACTTGTTGGGGTTAATTTGTTTACGTCCTAATAAGCCTATTACAGCCAATAAGCGACGAGTCGATAGACAATGTACTTTAGGTTTTCTAGACAGAATACATTTGATGTCTTTGTTCTGAGATCCCCAAGATGCAATACCAACAGATCTCGTTTGATGGCCGAATTCCCTTGATTACGACTATTTTATTGTCAAGACAATGTATTGTCACTCATAAAACCCTGTATGCCAGTGGTCTCTTAACGACCAAATAGTCCATTCTGTCAACCCAAAAGAGTTAATATTCTAATACAATTGTATTCACGTCATGCAACCAATTTATATCCGTGGTGGTATAATGCGAAGGGTTTTGATACACATAACCCACTTCGAATGAGAAAATAGAATTTGGATACTTTCATCACGTGTGTACTATTGTGTTTGGTTGTGACGGAGAAATGACCATCGGTTTACCATTATATCCTACAAGAAACATACAATAACGATACCGTAGATTTACTGGGTGCCGTATCCATTTGCAAATTTACCACATCATAAATTCAACAACTTCTGATTAAAACCACTATCACTATTACGTAATGATGATGCACTACAACAACTGCACGTGAAGTACAGCCATGGACAATAGTCCCAGTGGCACTTTTGCTGGTCCGACGCTCTTTTGAAGTCTAAAATAGATGTAAGAGGCGTGAAGGTGTCACGTGGTTGCGTGTTTCTCGACAATAAAAAAAATGCCGTGATTTCTATCAATGCTAGAGAATACATGCATGACAATCCCATGATTCTGTTGTGTTCATTAAATATCTTTATTGAATATATCACACTACAAAGGTTACAGCATTGTCATAGCGCATACATTACAATATAAACAAATGTAATAGATAGATATCTTTAAAATTGTTTTTACATATTTTAAGTAGAATCTGTGTAGCTTGTAAATTATTGATCAAATGTGTTTGTTTGTTTTTGTTTTTTGTTTGTGCTTAGACTATCTATCTATTTATTTATTGATTTAAATATAACATCATATTTATTAATGTAATCCTTTGTATTCTGTTTTGGATTCTGACAAGTTGCAAACACATTAAGCAATCCAAGCGTATGCATTCCCATCTTATGTTGTTAACGAAAGTATAATCTGTTTTAACAAATCATTTCAGAACACTCAGCGCCAACGCAATTGTAATTGTGAAAACGCAATTCGATGAAACAACCGAACTATGAGTAAAAGAAATATTTACAGCTATAATACCTCATCAAAAATTCTATTTCATTTTCGATAGCATAAGATTGCTTCTAAGGACTCATTATGTTTGTAATTTCACGTGACGACTTCCTGCTCTGTAGATTAGGACAGATCTTCTTAACAGGTCTTGCGTTAAAATAAAGATATTTATGCAGTATCAGTCAAAAACCGATTGACGTTCAGTGAAGTTAGAGGCGACATGTATCATCGTCTTTTTTTATGTAGCCATTTACTCAAACTGTAAGCTAGTATTGTTGTTGTCGACATCTCCTTTTCATCTTTTGATTAACACGTGTTACTATATTTTCAGCCTTTCCCGAAGAAGACAACACAAAGATTCCCTTTTTCAATCCACGCCCTACCAACGTTTCCTATAACACTGGTGAAACTGCCGTCCTCTCGTGCTCCGTAATGAATGTTGATGCTAGATATGTAAGTATACGTCTTGTCTTCACTGATATGTACGTTTGAAAAGGGTATTTGTCATTGCAATGAGACACGCATATCCTTCACAAAAATATCAACTACAGTAAATTGTTAACATTTTGTGTCTTCAATCCCTGGTACCATCATCATAGACCATTGACTTGGAAAATTCCCAAATATCTGAAAGGAAAATAACGTTTCAAGCGCTTGTCAAAGTGGCCATCTGGATACGCAGCAGTTGGTCAGTATTGAACAGGGACAAGGGGGACCACAGTATCTCTCTCCACATCTATAACCGCGCGTTAAAGCTTAGTCGATTTGACTACAACACATTGTTACAATAGCTTATACTTTTTTTCTGTAATCTTTTTACCATCTCGTTTTAACGTCTCGTTTCGATCTTCTACAGGCTACGTTATAAGAACTTGTACTCTATTCACATTACTTGTTTGAGGAAAAATTCCCGAAACATGTTGTGTCAGTTTAACCTTTCTTGAAAAACTGGTATCTACCACTTCAAGGGTGGCTTAAACCATCCCAGAGATACGATCGGAAAGTAATACAGCACCGTCATAATCTATACCATGATTGTAAAACTCCTAATTGATAATATCGTAAAACATTGATGACATTCACGACGATTCTAAAATGAAATAGTCATTTAATGAAAGTTTTACAAAACATGCACGTCTAGGCGGTTGTAGGTTGTCAAAATGTCAAATTTACATTAACATATTACTACCATGGCTTTTATGTACAATATGTCTGTCGGGAGATAGATATTACAACATTACGACACGAGATTGGTCGGTTAGTGACTGGCACGACCACGGTGTAGCACATCTGCGGGTACAGTGGACAGGTGTCCTCTCATGACAAAGGCTAGACAGACAAACTAAGATGCCATTTTTGCAATCACGTCTCTACTAGTGCGAAAAGGACCATACAAGTGACATGACTCCCAAGAGAATCCAAGAGCATGTTGATGCCACCGGCAAAGCTTAGATACCACTGCCTGAACTTAGAGCCGTAACTGGATGCCATACAATCTGACATTGACCACAAGTCCGTGTCACTCAAACATGCATTGTGTAATATCGTACTGAGACCCGCACCAACCCGAGAATCCATTTTTCTTGGCTTCTTCCCAAAACGCCCAAAAGAAGAAATATCTACGTAATGAAATGAAAAAAAAAATAAAAAAAAAATAAAACGGAACTCGTCGGTGTTCGGTGTCTTTACCGCCCCGTAAAATATCGTCTCTGTAACGCGCTATGTGGTCATATTGTATATTACATATTACAAGAATTGATCGGTCGACAGCGTTGTTCAGAATTGTCCAATGACGTGACCTTTATGAGGAAAAGGAAACAGGGCGATTTATCGTAGACATGGGCCCTATTAATCCCTCTATATAACGGTTAAATCTCGAGTGTTTTTACTCCAAAGACATGCTGAATCGGTCATAAATATTAAAACATGTTATATATCAGTATGAAATGTGATTGCAGGATTACTTTTAAATGCTTTCTATATACTTAGCTTTAAGCTACCACACACATTTTGTGTTCCCCATGATTTCCTTTTTTTTTTTTCTCAATATTTTCGCGTGCCATCTTCCGCTCTAGACGTAAAGCTTCTCCAGCACGCGCGGGAACACGCATGAAAATTCCATGTTTATCTCGCTGACCGACAGCTCCATCAACGAAAGGCTTCTATGCAGGAACACTTCCTCTTTAGGATTTCAATCGCGTGAAGCATGTTTCAGTTGCATGACAGGTTAAAAAATCTATACGGACGTGATGTGTTTATAAATATATATATATATATATATATATATATATATATATATTAGAATTAAGATAGAATAAATGTAGAGGGCTTGATTAAATATTTACCTTTGTCTCGTCATAAAGGGAAGTAAATCGTGCCTCACCAAATAGTCACTTTTCTTGTTCATTCAAGGGAAAGACTTATTCTTTTAATTATTATAAAGGGTTATGCAAGGCCTATTTATCTTTTTGTCTAGGGTCCTGCAAAGTATGTGTTTCTACCTTAAATATGGGTTTGGTGTAGTGGAAATAACGGTTAGTGAAGAAAAAAATCATTTACAGTCAACATCACGTTACAAGTCTCGTTCTGACGGTATGTTACAAGCACGTACATTTTCCCCGAAAACGTGCGTGTCCTTTTGCAGTTTGCGGTCAGTCACTGAGCAACTTTCTGGCAATAAGCCTTCTGGTCATGCCCTAGTGTACGACATGTGAGGGAAGAGCTATGTTTTGTTCTGGTCGCCATCACGCACATGGATTAAAACTTCCTTGTGATCCTGTAATATAACGATCGCTTCGTGTTTATACACAGCTATACCCACAATTGTGAAATAGTGGAACCGACATGACACGATAGAGCTGTTGTAACGTCTGTGCAGGGGGTCAATTATTGGTCTGCGCACCTCAAGTACCCCCTCATCTCCACGTCCACCAGACTTTTACAACCAACAACCACCAAAACATTTACACATCACAGCCATTTACAATAACCCGACTCGCTTAGTAATGTACACAGCTCCCGCCCGGCTACTGCACAGCAAATATGATACCTACAGTTTTCATACTTTTGACTCGCTGCTTATATATCGCAAATTTCATAAGATCGGATCTCATACAGCGATAAACATGTATATGCGTCATCAACTGCAATATCTGCCGAAAACCTCGCGACTTCCGCGTCGCTGGACGTTATCACTGTAACTACTTGTTTATAAGCAACTGTTTTGAAATTCGTGGCGGTACACAACATGTAGTTTACATTGAACGAGTTAAAGCTCCCCACCCACTCAATGCATTTCCAAGTTAAATGGAATCAGATTGTTGATGGACTCAAACTGGACACCCTTCAGTAATAACATCACATCTTCTATAGTTCTAAATCAACATCGGCATTGGCGTGTAGCCCATTTATCCAAGATCTCAAACATTGGTAAAGTCATTCTGTTCCTCTTGCCTTCCATAAGAACAAAGTCATGGTTAAATGCCCTTAAAAATATATATATATGGATTCTTTTTAAATGATGATATTCAAATACAAAGGATAATGACTGTTTTTATAACAAACTCATACTTTCATAAATGGAAAAATGATAATAAAATCTCTAAGACAAATCACCTTCGATTGTCATACCTTGTCGATATATAAGTAATTTGGGAGAAAACGCCGATGAATAGCAAGTTTATTAGCAAAATCATAACAATGGAGATGCTAGTACTACAAAGCGGATTGTTATATATAAAATCTTATATATTTAACAACAGTCGTGACACAGTGTACCAGCTTATGTATAAAATCTTGTCCTGTGTAGCACATGACAACTATAATCTCCATGATGATATTCTACATGGGTTTGACGTTCGAGATAGATGTTATGCATAGCACTAACAGCACGAGATAATTCCTTACGACCTAGGGATTATAACACGAATGTCGTTTAAAAGCTGAATTTAGCTATATTATATATACCGCGATGTTTCACGGTTTACATTACTGCTTTATGTACAAATATATGTTATGGTGTGGCGTTACATACGTCTGTAAGATAAAAATATACAAATACATCAGTTGTTAATGTGAATTTATCTTTTTACGAAATCAAAATTATATAATTCACCGTAAATGATTGAGTGTCGAAAATGTCAAGACATCAACTCAGGGTCAAAAGCGGTACAATTACGCTTTTCCTATTTTTGTTTTGGCCGGTGCAGCTGGGAAATAGAGGTCTTTATAAGCTATGTGTGGATAATACTTTATCTTAAAGTGAAAAAAGTTTGTTCTGTCGTTAAAACGTGACCATTATGGAGGAATATTTAATGCTTTTAAAAGCCTGCTAGAGTTGTGACGTTGTAATGGCCCTGTACAAGAAGTAGTCTTAAAGTACCTACATCACATTCTAGTCTGCGTTAGTGGGATTGCCATAGGAATTTCCTACACATCAAATGGTTGTACAAATAATGTGTACATGTTACCACAATCGTAATCAAATCCAAAACCAGTAATCAACGTCCTGGAATTGAAAGCTTCTATCAAATAACATGATTATCATACAGTGAACTGTATCTTCTGATAATCATTGCTGCTGTAGATATTTTCGTCAACTTTCCCGTTTATTATGCAAAGTTGAATATTCATCTCAACATATCATATCTGTTTATTAATCGTGAAATATCGTTTTATTACAAAAACAACAGCAACAAAAGTAACCTTAACGGGAACATAGTCATAGATTTACACGAAGACTCCTGAGAAACAATTAGGAAAATGATACCAGGTGTTTAGGAAGGGTAAGGGTCTTCTGCTTCGTCGCCGACATCCGCCATGCAAATCCTGGTTAGTCCAAGTACATGCAAGTAATGTCATGTTTCCAAATGAGACCTCGATAAATAACAACAGAACCAACACATATGTTAACGAGCACCAAACAGACATGACACAAAATACTTTTCCTTCAGCTCATCATGAGACAAAACGTAAAACTTCCCTATCATTTACCTCAACTACCAACTTTCGAAAGCTTGTTTTTCGATTTTGTCTTCCAATTGCTAATTCTTGCACGGAACTTGTGTTTTTGAGAACACGCCCTTGAACATCAAATCAACTACGATGTTAACACATTAGGTTGGGGATGGAGAAATGTTGCTATGCAGAAATAAAAAAAAAATCACAATAGTGAAATTAAATTCAGAACACTTACTTATAACATTTACATCCGGAATAGGTAAAGACTCTTTATAAACAACGCCAACATATACAAATAATTATTCACGTGTAAAACTACACTTTACATCTAGATTTGGTATAGCATAAACATTTTGTGTTTTTACAATTCACGTAACCTTTATCAGAAAAAAATACAAGTGATGTTACTACAAAAAATATACACTTTTACTATGCAAAAATATCGCTTTTCTTCCCTTCTGTTTATATGCAAACTCACTGATGTTCCAGATTAA